TGCCTCTTTATATGCGAAAAGGGGCATTCCGCTATCAGACATTCCAATCAGCTCACCGCCTCTATGCTTTGGACCACTAGCGGATGTTAACGACACCGAAGCTGAAATGTCGGGTTCGGTGAACAGAACATGAATTCAAGCATTAAACTTTTAGTCTCACGGTGAACGTTTACTGCAAACTCAACAAAATAAGCAGGCCCACCTAAAACGAACGCTACTACGGTAATAGTAACGCCGGAGGTCACATGATGGTCTTCCAATCCCTGACCGGCATACCACACCCAAGCCAAACCAAGAGCACAACTGAACATCGTCACAGGAGACCATCGAGCCGCTGCCATTACGGGATCAGCTACGTGCTACAAAAAGCACTATTACTCGGAAAGTAAGGAGCGGGTATCGCTAAATTCACTCACCTGGAAACATACGCTTTCCGCGTAAAAATCGAGGACCATAACAAAAACTGTTGCAATGAAAAGTAGAATAATAAAATGCGTCAACGAAGCAATAACAGACTGAAAAGTAGTGAAATTTTGTAAATGGTGGATTATGTTGTGGGTACTGCAGTAGGAATACAAACCGTCTTCATAATCAGCAGAAGTATTCCAAAGGGAGTAAGCATCAAAGCTGAGCATGTGGATACGAGAGAGTACAATCGCTTTGGCCCACCTATCTCAACCGCAAGGTGACGGAATGAATTATCATACCCTGAACAAAATAACCTCATAAAAAGTGGATTTGTAGGAAAGGAGTAGAATATCGGAATTAATGGAGAAAGTAATATAGAGTTAATTACATATAAACAAACTGAGGTAACGCTCTTGAAATTATAGAGGGAAGTAGATAAAATTCAACTATTTCTATGTCTGGAGTGCATCAGAATCCTACGCATACCGTAATGAAAAGATAAACTCGGAAATATAGACGTGTTTTTCTAATTAAATGATGACAATTTGTGATTTCAAATTAATCCTCTTACCAATGCGAAGAACCAAAGCTAGGAACAAAATAGCTACGCCTCCTTGATGATCGCTCACACCAAACGTAGCAATAAGATGGTAAAATAAATGATTCAGTCCACTATGATGACCATGAGTTACATCTGAAGAGTAATTAGTTCTGTCAAACTTGACAGCTTCTCGAAAAAGAGGAAAAGGAAAAAATAAGGAAGAGAAAGCAAAAGACAACAGAACCAATTAAAAATAGTAAAAAGCAAGTGAGGTGATTGAGGCAGGGAACCATAGGAAAACCCCTTTTACAATAATTTTTCTTACTACTGCGCAAACGAGATTTGTGGTGGTGAGACTAGTTCATTTGATCAAAGATCGAAGCAGATGTCATCTCCAACACGAACAAACACATCAGACTAATTATAACGTTTCTCTAAGACCCAGCAAGCAACCAGAAAAACGAAATCCTATGAGAGTTGGTTTCTCGTTGTTGGTACACGCTTTCCGTGTATGGGTTATAGTGAAGCAATAGTAACAGCAACTAATGGATTAGGGGTATTTGACCTGTTGAGCCACATATAAGAACTCAAAATGGTTTTCAGTTATTTGAGGGTAACACTTGGCTTCAAACGTTGACTAGCCGAAACGCTTCTCCCTCAAATCTGAACGATGCAGCAGTTTATAAAAACTTTTGAAAATTCTTATCACCAACACAATCAGAATGTGGAAAACTCAGGGCAATATGTATTAATTGAACAGACCGTGAGGATCTTCTATTGAGTGATCTCGATCCAATAACAAAAGCGATAAATATCCTATGACTAGAAAAAATAGACCGCGACTTTTCGCTGTCGACGAGTTCCCCTAGAAGACGTAAAGTAAGTGACTAGCACCAACACAGTGAGTGCTTCTCACCTTAAAAATGGAGGCCATGGCTACCAACAAAACGGAAGGGCTCAGCTCAAAAACTAATACGGACCTGAAAAACAAAGCGCAGTAATACAAAATTGTAGTGTGTTTGCATATATAAATCAAATGAAAAATAATATATCCGTTCAGAGAAAAAAAAACAAACCTCAATGGCCCACAAAAAGTAATGCCATAGAACCAGAGTACTTCTATTAAACAATTGACAATTGCCAATTTTGCGATACGTACAAACTAAAAGAAAGGGACAGTGATGGTGAACAAAACAGTTAAAACATACAAACCGTTGGTCTCCTTAAGGTATGTCCATGTGAAAGAGGTTTCTGGATAGGTAGAAGAAGTGCTGATGCACTAAAAAAGTTTATAAAGACAAATATTGAGAAATATCATTAATACAATATAATTAAACTTACCATATTTTCACGAGCCATAAAAGGCTAACTACATGAACACCTTTAACCAAAATATCAAGAAAGAATATGCCGATACATCGGAGAATTTTCGTCAGCACGAGGACGCAAAAATACCATGCCGACCTGAAACACATTGCGTAGGTCTCCAAGATAGCTCTGCGTTACTAAATCTTCACCAGTACGGTATCTGGCTTAATTTCACTTGTTCAAGTTTGTCATAAAGGAACAACGGAGCTGGAAAAACCTCCTAAGGAATGTTTTATTCATAAAGAATACCATCATAACTCAATAAGTAATGCGCCGAACTTGCAATTATAAAGTGAACGGTATGACAAAAATGATCAGAAAGGATCTCACCGTGATGAGGAAGTCGGTTTGAAAGTACGGTCGTCTTTTTTCAGAAAATCGTGGGCTAGCATTTCCGAAGAAGTAGTGTCGCAAATTTAGGAAGCTCTCTATAACTTCATGACGAGTCAGTATGGGATAGTAAACGTCTCTGAAAACAAGTTTTTTTTAAAGATTCATCGTACGGGATCGGCTTTTCACTAATTCTTGTTATTTCGAAAGACCCTATGCATTTTTGACAAAGATCAAATCCGCAAAGAAATTGAGAAAAAATACGTGGAGAAAGGAAACATTAAGGAATTTAGCGTTTAACCAAACTAACTTTACTAATGATCATGAAATGCCAACAGTAAATGCTCAAAACTTCTACATGGTTCGGACCATGTCCTATCCAATTAACACAGATGAAAGACTATAGATTTCACAAGCAAAAACAAGTGTTTAAGTGAAAACACTCCAAACAAAGGGCGGCTTCCAATATAAAGGAAATCTAAACGCTTATTGTAAGGGCGCTGCGAATAAAACACAAGGAAACTCTACGATAACAATGTAGATGAAGGTCATTAAATACTATCATACGGAAAGGACAACAAGATGGAATTGAAGGACAACTGAAAACCGTGAAAACAGTCGCGCTATAATTGATAGAACATTATTTGAAGCGAGTTTGAGACGAGTCAGCGTAGTGGTCGTGAATTTGCGTCGAGACGACTTCGTGGACAATGTCTGTAATTGCAGGCATTAATTTTCTACCAATGCGCAAATCTACTAACTGTTGCAAAGAAATGAAGCAACCAGCGAAATCTCCCGATTGCAAGCAAATTATCTGCTTGACAATCGGTGCAAAGAGAATGCCAATTAATGGAAATGGCTAAAAAGAATGCCTACTCTTATACCAATAAATGTTACAGTTATGTTCACAGAACTTTACTTGCAGGTAAGATGTACGCCTATGTAAGAGCTGAAAGGGGGAATAAGTATCTCTGGAAGTCCCATATTCCTAGTTTCTCTGTTGGGAGCGATCTCCCTCCCTCACACTTGCTGACGCGCTATAATACAAAAGGAGGCTGCAGACAACGAGCGGCCACGCCCTCTTCTTGCTGTTAGACACATACGCGTAGGCCGCTTTTCCGTCTGGACCCTTGCACTGAAAGAAAGTTTGGTTGACAAAAGACCCGTCACCGAGTGCTCCACAGTGGCTCAATCCTTCCCATTTCGGAATATGCGTCGGGCATCGTCTTTATTGCTACTTCTGAACTGTGTTTTTGCTGCCAAGGTTGACGACAGTGTGCATTACTTCGTCACGTTCGATACTGCCGAGAATGGCCTTGCAGGTGGACAGCTTTTAGAGCAAGAAAACGAAAAAGCATTCAAGGATGACAATTCAATACGGATATCCACGCAGAACAATGAAAACTACATATGTAAATTGCCACAACCTACAACTACAGTGAGTCTATTTGGTTTGGAAATAATGTTTGCGATAATGTTTAATCTGAAGCATTTTACCTAGTGGAGCCGACTTTCTATCTCTCAAAAGTCCCTAGAGTCCACAAAGAGAAATTGGAATTTACAGAGACAAAAAACGTTATCCCGCGGTTTTTTCGATATCTTAGAAAACATTCTCAACAACATGAAGGAACCTTAATGTAGTTTATTTCTGTGTTTCTTCCTCTCCCTATTTTACAACATCCTTAAAAAGTGATTACTCATTTGGGCTGGGGATAAAGTAGGTTCAAGAATTAGAATTCGTAATTAATATTAGCTGGCTTTAAATTGATGTGAAAGCTTTTTTTTATGAGGTCATCTAATAGAATCACCGGAATACGCCCATTTTATGCTTTTGAATGATAGTTTTAATTTTTCTCATAGATGGGTCCAAAGCTTTTTATTTTATCCAGTGGATATTCTAGCTATGAGAACCAATTCGATTACAGTCAGAGTAGGTATTCAGAACAATTCTATGAGCTCAAATCTTTATGAATTTCGTCGTTGAAGAGCCCACTAGTAGACGAAACCACCCACCTATTATCTAGTCAGGAGCTCCTAATATCAATGATTTATGGGCCTTCTCCTAGTGCGTAACCTCTGTGTTTCCTTACGCAGCACTTATGAGGCCCATCATGTTGGGTTGTTGCTTGAATGCAACTTTGCGTTTTGTTTCAGCTCGAACAAGATGTATCTTCCTATAATGGTTTGTCGCCAGCAGAGCTAATCGCTCCATTCTACAAAGAGAAACTGTGCTCCTATCGAGTGGACCCATATTGGACTTATGAGCTGTGTCATGGACGGTATATTGTGCAGTATCATGAAGAGAAGGACATTCGGGGAATTGGCAGAACCGCAGAGTATTACCTTGGCAATCTTCATGTGGACTACTCCACCTTGGTGATTCTCCTACTCATATTCTCACACTTAATTGCCATCCTCTGTGAAAAGACTCGTTTTAGAGCACTCCAGTTAATCATGATAACCCTCCAAAAAGAATTATTGATGGCGAAGAACATGCATATTTCCCTGTATTATATAGTCAAGGAACTACATGTGATATCACAGGAAAACCAAGAACGACGACTGTTATGTATATATGTGTTGAGGTATGATCTCTTCAATATATGAGTATTGCAAGGACCTTAGAGCCAGCTGTGGTGTATTAGAAGCATATAATCTGCATTAGCGACCGTGCTTTCACGCGACCCATACTACGACTTGTTAAATCGGACTATTTTTTATTCCAGAATGCACGAAATCAAATCCATTCGTTGAACGAAGTCTCGTCATGTAACTACGAAGTAATTGTGTTAACTTATGCACTCTGCTCTCATCCCAGCTACAAGCGGAAGTTAAAGGAAAATCAAGAAATCGTCTGTTACAGTACCCATGAGACTGAAAATGCAAAGCCAAGTTCTCTATTACTCATGGAAGAATATCATAAGAATACATTCAAAAGGGTTAGTTCAAGGTTTTTACTTGTCAGTATAAAGGTAAGCAATAATTCTACATACATTTTCATATATTTGGTGGTACCTACAGTTTTGGAATTTTCACTGATCAAAAAACATCACATCTTTAATGCCCCAAATGAAGCCGCTGTTATGGCATCCCTAGGGCGACTCATGAAACAAGCTCGGCGAATTCGTTAGTTCTAGAGCATTTCGATAATGTTCAGCCGGCTGGTGAAGGAAAGCTGTGTGTCTTTCATTCAAATACCAATCCCTTCGCTTCATATTGCATTCCATTCCCCTGTGTTTTATACATGCAGAATTTGACCATTCTAGGAATACTCCCTTGGCCCAGAAAAGCCGGAAGTAGATATAGAGCATATGGAACGAGTAGAGAGGGCTATTGAACAAATACAGCAACAGTTTGAAAACAAGGAAAAGCTGCTGAAGCTCGCTGGCCAAAAGAGGTAAGTAATCTGTGTGTGATTGTTTATTATCGCCGTACAGAGACATGGCTTCCGGGCTTGTTGTTTATAGCAAATAAATGGTGTCTACAGTGAAATTAGAATGCCATATGCAAGCAATCGTTGCCTGCTTACCAGCGAACATTGCTCTGTTATATTGCGTTGAATCAAAATATTTGTTTTTTTTTNTTTTTTTTGTGACAGAAATTGCTTTTTCTAGCCTTTTTATGCATGTGATTGAGTGAAATAATTAATTCTACAGTCTTCTTAAACGTCAACTATCTTCGCTTTTCATACCTAGCCGCTTATTTCATGGGATCCTGCGGTCTAGACATCATTTGTTGTTAAATCTTTTAGAAAATTTCTCTGACTATTGGAATGTAGACAAAAATGGAACCCTTTTCACTTTTTTTTTACAGAATTCTTATCTGTTTGGTTAAGGTACCAAGGTGTAGATACGCTTGCAAACAATCGGTTGATTGTTGAAGACACTGTTAATCGCATATTATCTGGAAGGGAGTGCATTTATGGTGGTGAAGGATGGTGGAGATATGAATTCTGCTATGGAAAATCTGTACGAAATTTCTCATTGTTTTCCGATACTTACTATCCCTTTTCTACCACCACTTCATCCTTCCACAATGCAGGTTTTATAGGTACTACAATACCATATTGAGCCTAATGGTGACCGTACTGAGATTTTGCTAGGAATATTCGATGAGAAAGTACATAAAGCATGGGTTGACGAAGATAGGACGCATCGATCTCCGAAGAAGGTTGGTATCCATACGATTTCACTATAAGATTTGAGGATGGTTGACTCACGCTAATTTTTGTTTCAGTTCAATAACCAAATTACCCAGATATCTCACCTTTATGTGAAAGGAGACATCTGTCATGAACTCAACGCTCATAGGCAAGTTCTTTTAGTGCTTGTTTCTTTTAAGATTTATTGCTGTATAGCGTAATTTGTACTGTATTAAATTGAGAGCGTATAAAGGGTATGCTGACGATATGCAATATTCCTCATATCGTGCCCTTAAACAGAATAATAGCTTTTGTTTAGGAATGTTGAGGTTCGATTACGTTGCAAAACAGCTGATCACAGTTCACTAGCCATTTCACTATCACTAACCGAGCCAAGTTTATGCCAATACATACTCACTCTAGAGAGCGAAAGGTAAACTTCGACTAATTTTCGATTTTTTTCCACCGTCCTTTTCATAACTACGCAGGAAAACTAATCACCGCTGTTTTCAAGGAGGTAATTTCAATTACATAAGTGAACACAAGTTTAGATCTCAAAAACTTCAGTTTTCTTATACCTAAATGCCTCGCAGGTTTCTAACAGACGTTCATTATTATCACAAGCGAGTTGCTTCGAACCGAGTTAGTATTCCTCTTACAGTTGAGTCTCTCCTAGTCACTTGAGTGAAAGAGAAGAGACTCACATGCCTTGATTTTAAAATGAATATTCACCTCTGTCGTTATGTACGAGCAATCTGTTAACGAGATGGAAGCTAATTTTTTTTAGATTTTGTGAACCACTCCAATATGCGGACGATTACGGCCTGATCGCATTGGAGCCGCAAGATGATTCAGCACAGAAAGTTCCAGGGCCTATATAAAAGCTCGTAATCTGATATGAAATTATGTATTTGCCAGTCAAAACGGGGTTATTTCGCATGTTTCGCTAACTTCTGTGCACATATTATATGTACAATGATTTTCTTATAAATATTCTAAGGTAACATGAACAATTAACAAGCAACAATGGCCATCAATGTATCAGTTGTCACAGATATTCAATTTCTAGGTCCCCTACTTGGTCAGAATCGCAAAAGCCTATGTTATGGCAACAACGAAAACAATTGCTAACGCCTTCAACAACGTGTGCAAGAGCATTATTCAAAAAGAAATATAACGAGCGTCCTAAAGTATGTGAATGCGCTGATCATGGGTACTATACATGTCATCAGTAGGATGCCGCAAATTCGAGCCTAACCTAGGAGAGGGAGAATAGTAGGGGCTTTCACCTAATACCAGTAAGTTGGTTTCCGTGGCGGTTGCGCTTTGATGCCAACTTCCTCACATATCTCGTCTTCGAACGAGGTCAACTTTGGTACATATGTTCGTTCCAGTACCAATGCAGCTGGTGTATCTTTCTCTTCAACTTCTGGAAAAACAGGTCATTTCACTGTATCTAAACCAAAAACAAATTAGTAGTTGAGATATAAACAACTCTATTTTGGAACAGCTGCATTCAGAGGTCGAGAAAGCAGTGCAAAGCCGTCAGAATGAGAGAGAATGTATATAAAATTACTGGGCACACCTTTTCATTTCCTGTTTTCTGCATTCTTTGTGAATTTTACGACTCTAAGATATAACTGAAAAATTCCAATTGACCGAACGATCTAGGGATACTTACCGATGTACTTATCCGGTAACAGATACTCGTACGTGACCTTTGCTTGGCTTGGAACTGGGATTTCGAAACCAGATCGCATCGATATACGAATGTACTCATCCCCTGCATCGTTCAACACCCATCTGAGAACAAAAGGTTACAAAAAGAAATATAACAGCTGAAATAAGTATCGTACTTCGCTTCACAGGGCTCGTTGTCGTTAGGATCCACCAGTTTTACATGCTCTTTCTCAACGCTTAACGGCTGCTCATTCCATCTTAAAAGGTTACAAGTCAATGTTACATACATTGAATGTCGTTTCTTAAGACGACAATAGATGAGAAATGAAAAGCTGAGATCCCTCTATCTCTCTCTATATAAAGCGCAAACTTTGTGTGTCTGTTCGTATGTCGCTTTTGGTGTTAGTCTGTAAAAGATCAGGTGGGCGCGGTGAGGAAGGTGTTATACACTAGGGAACCCACTGACGGTCCCCTAACCAATATTTATATTTTGGGACGTCATTGACCGGCGATAGAACTTTCCTTCTTTTGACGCACGCGTCTTGTTTGGTGCTTTTCGATGGCGAGTCGACCAAACCTACAGCAAAGAGCAAGTAGAGCGCGAAAACTTTTGCTTTGGCATCGGTTGGCGTCAGGCATAATCAGACACTCTTCTTGACTGTTTTCTATTACATCTGAATTCCTATGGTTGAGATCAATCAAAATTTTGAATGTAAATGCCCATGATAGCTACACCCTTGAAAAGTCATTTACTCTGGAGTGTTAGACCTTTGTTGCGTAATTTCCAGAAGGAAACCTAAGTGGGATTTTAGGTGAATCAGTATCGCGAATACAAAGCACGAAAAATGTTTCCATGTCTTCTTGAATAAGATCTTAGATGAGCGATTGTGGACATGTGTTGCACGCAGTTAGCAGCGTGCAAACCCCAACAAACTCTCTCTAAATAATCAACCTACTTTAGCACTTCATCAATGCCGAGCTTCTTTGCTCCTTCCATTTCGACCTCGAGCTTACAGTGTAAGCCTTCTACGAAGACTTCATTGGTGTCTCGAGAAACTGACATTACAGTCCCTTGGCGTCCTTTATCTTTTCCAACCATCACCTAGAATTAGACTTAATGTATTACTGTATGTACTTAATTTGTAATATCCACCAGACAGAAGAATCTCACAATGATTCTGCACAATTTTAGTCCTCAAATTTTAAGAATTTTGTTATCTACGACAAATACCATACTGTGAGATAGCCGTTACCCATGGGAAATACTGTACTACCTGTACAAGATCTCCAGGCAGAAAAGTCCACTTTTCGTCTGGCATACGTCGAACTTTCGAACGGCGTAGTTTGAAAAACTTATTTGAGATCCTAGAAGAGGTAAGCACTGTCCCAGCACAGACGAATACAGCAATTTTTATGTAAGATCATACATTGCTTGGTGGTATTGATCAGCTCTTTCCAATGACTTCGAGAGTTCATCGTTAACCCATGGTCGCTGATTACTCGGCTCATAATCATCTGGATGGATCACCCAGCGAGTAATATCAGGAGCTCCGAATCTGAAAAAGAAAGATATATTACTAAGATAGTGTTAAACGACAACCGGATTCGCGAAGATCTGAAAACTAGTCTTCGATTTGTACACTTTGTGCCCACTTTCAATATATGACCGTAAAAATCAGGAAAGCATTTTGACTTTCTCTTCCCCTGAAGCAGTAGAGTAGAATACAATTTTCTTAAGGCATGTACGTCATGGGAGATTTCAATCAACTCTATGTGCTCTACGTATCTTGATCCATTAAACCTACCGTGCCAGTCTCTCCCGGAGCTTCGTATAAAGCCTAAATCCATGATATAGACAGAAAAATGGGAAGGTAGACGCATTTCCTTTGTAAGGAGGGTATGTATTTCACATAAATCGTTTAGGGCGGAGATAGTGTAGCGCCAAAATGCAGTGAAGCGCTACCAATCCAAAAACTCCATCCTTCATCCGCTCTCGAAACCAAGCGATTTTTTGGACAATAAGTGGGGATATAGGTGTTTTCGAAATGGTTTTTAAACGAAAAGGCGAGTATATTAGAATTCTTCTAAGCAATACTTGAATGTTGCATGCATACACATGAGGGT